AGCTGAAGAGGAGTTACTGGGACGGGTTGTTTCTGGCACTTACTACAGCCACCAGAGCAGGTCAGTAATCAGTGCAGGGCAGGTTCCAGTAGGCCATGCCCGTGCTGCTTGGCAGTGTGATGTCAAGCGCACGGTGCAGGTAGGCAGGATGCAGCGGGGAGATTGTTATGTGTGGAGCCAAGATGGATATGGGAGAGAGGAGAGAGGAATAGGAGGCAAAAACTTACAAACAAACCAAAAGAATGCTAGGGGAGCTTGCCGTTGTAGTAGACAGATGAGAGACTATGAAATGGAGAAAAACAGAAAGGGGAAGAGGAAGAAAAGAAAAGAATGAATAAATAAAAATCAGAAAGGTTTAAGAACCGCAGAGTTCCCAGGGATCCCACCGGTGCAGTTATGAGGTCTGGGGAAGTCGCTCTTAAGTGTTACAGTACAGCCTGGCTAGAAGGCGTACAGGTATACAATGCCAGGTATTCAGGGAACAGAAAGAGAAGGAAGATATAGAGAGACGAGAAACTGAGCAATGAAGAAAGACAAAAAGGGAAAAAGAGGGAGAAGAAAACAAAACAAATTAAAGGAAAAAAAAAAAAGAACAAGAAAGGCCCCCAAAAAAACAAAAAGAAAAAACCAACGAGAAAGGAAATGCTCTCAGGGATCCCTCTGCAGGTCTGTGAAAGCCAAAGGGGAGTATCCTTGCCACGCAGCTCTGCCTGGCCAGAAAGGGCTCCCAACTCAAGAAAAGGAAAAGAAAACAAACAAACAATTCAAAATAAACAAATGAACAAAAGCCCCGGGATCCCACCAGCACGGTAGCCCTGACCGGGAAGCCGCTGCACACTTGAATGGAGCTCCGCAGCCCCTCAGGAAGAAGCAGAGATGGCGCACGGAGCCAGGTACTCGAGCGAAAGGAGCGGGGAGGTGGCGAGAGGCAAGTAAGAAATCAAAATAAGCAGAAAAAAAAGCAACACTAGCAGCCAACAAATGGCTCTCAGAGAGCCGGCTAGTACGGGCTGGTGTTTCTGGACAAGAGACTGTGTCCGTGGGAAGCAGAGGGGGCCGAGTGTGGGTGAAGAAGGGTAGGGAGTGGGAAAGCATATATCACAAATTACCGGTGCTCTGCAGCCCCTCAGGAAGAAGCAAAGATGGCGCATGGATTCAGGTGCTCCAGCGAAAGGAGGGGGAGGTGGTGAGAGGTAAGGAAAAAGTCAAAAGAAGCAGAAAAAAGCAACACCAGCAGCCAACAAATGGCACTCAGAGAGCCGCCCGTTCAGGTGTGTGGAATCCAAGCAGCCAGTGTTTCCTGATCAAGAGATTGTGGCCTCAGGAAGCAGAGGAGGCCGGATCGGGGTGAAGAGGGGTGGGGGATGGGAAAGCGTATATCGCAAATTACCGGTTGTTTTGTCTCCCACTGGACGCTCCATGAGGCTGCTTTCTCGTACCCCCTATTTGCTGGTCTCTGACAGGAGTCCAAGATGGCGGATCTGCGCTTTGTTAGCTGGTAGGGGACCTCTGCATGAATATCTCCTCGCTCTCTGTTCTCTGTCAGTTTTCTCACTCCAGTTGGTGCATAGCTGAGTTCTTTATCTCTTCATTTGATGTTTTAGGGTTTCAGGATTGTTGTATTCTCTGTTGGGCTTAGTTTTTCGGATCTTTACTGTGGAGGGACGGCGTGGTGCTTCTGCGTAGAGTTCCGTTTTGCCAGAACTACCGGTTGCAGTTTTAATTGAGAAATCAGTGCGGGCTTGCTTGAAAAGTGAGTGACTCAAATGCTTACTTTCTTTATACAGTGTCTTAGTTACCTAGTGCTGCTGTAACACAGATACCACAAGTGGGTGACCTTTAAAGAAGAAATTTGTTTTCTCACAGTTCTAGAGTCTAAAAGTCCAAATCAGGTTGTTGGCCATGTCGATCCCTTCCTTGTCAGCAGCCCCGGTCTCTCCTTGGCTCCTTGGCTTGTAGACAGTCCTCATGTGTCAGTCCTCCCCTCGTGTGTATCTGTGTCTATTCAGGTCTTTCTGTAACTCAGAAGTGCTTAGGTTTAGGATTCGCCCTACACTGGCATGACCTCATTAACATAAAAAAGAAAGACCCTGTTTCCAAACAGGATCACGTCCACAGGTACAAGGGCCTGGAATTCACATGTATCTTTTTTGGGGGGGGCTGGGTGGGGGGACTTAATTCAATCCATAACATGCACTATGCTCCTACTTACTCATACATTAAAATACACTAGTTTTGAATTACCCCCTTTTCTTACAAAATTAGGGGCCTGTGTTGTGCAGTGGTTAAACACTCAGCTGCTAACTGAAAGGTTGGCAGTTCGTACCCACGCGGTGGCTCTGTGGGAGAACTACCTGGCAGTCTGCTCCTGTACAGCCTAGAAAACCCTATGGGGCCATTGTACTCCATCACATGGGGTCGCTGTGAGTTGAAAATCTACTAGACAGCAGCCAACAACAACATGCGTTTCTGAGTTTCTTGTCGCCTGGAATGTAAATCGTCTGTCGGAAAGACATAAAGCGTTTTTGTTTTTTTTAACATTATTATTCAGTTTAGTATTTTCACAGGCCTCACCTCACTCTGAACTTCAGCTTCTTTAGCAGTATTTTTACAAACCATTTCCTCCCTCATTATACTCATTATGTTCTTTACGATGTTTTCACACTATATAAAAATGCCTTAAAATTTTTTACAATGGATGTGCTTTTTGAAGAGTTTCATATAAATGGAATTTTTGTGAATAACAGCAAACTTTGAATGAAATCATTATATTAAGAGAATTCCATTACATCTCCTTTTGTAACCTGAATACTTATGCTTTTACGTTTTTTGCGTTAATTTAATATTTTTTAATTATCAGGCTGTTTAATATATGGTGAGCCAGATATCAATGTGAAAGAGCTTACATGAAATAAACCTGTTGCATTCCTTAGTAAACCAAGTATATATAATAAGAACTAAAGAAATGCAATAATGGACAATAAACTTGCACTTACGATGCTTAAAGCAATATTAATTAACCCTGTACTTCACAAGTCTGACTGAATTGAGTGATCACTGGTGAGAAATGTCTTGTGCCATTTATAGGGAGATGCTATCTAGACCACAATGCACTTTAAGAGTTTTAATTTTAAGTTGAAAATACACTCCATTATGTAAGAAAGTTCCTGTTTCCAGGGAGCTGTTTCTCTGCAGATATTTAAATTCAGTAACTGAGGGGCAGGAGAAGGTAGTCAGAGTGCCAAGACCACAAATTAAATGCAAGCAAGTCTTGGAAACTGTAATCAGTTTTCTTTCCCCATAACTTTGGGTGTTAAATTCCATTTATTTCAAGGAAAAAACAATTGTTCTTATGACCAATTAGTATATACTTGATAGTAGGAGTTTGCATTTTGCATAATGTATGTTTTATAAATGATAAGTTAGTATATTTTCATAATTTTCAGTATAATATGGTTGGTATTTTTGGGTCTTTTCTAGGTGTGTGACTTGGCCTTTAGCCTGAAGAAAATGTTGATCCGACACAAGATGACTCATAATCCCAATCGCCCACTGGCAGAATGCCAGTTTTGCCATAAGAAGTTTACAAGGAATGACTACCTCAAAGTGCACATGGACAATATCCACGGCGAAGCTGACAGCTAATGGTAGCTGCAAAGCTATTAAACCATTCAGAAGGGCTTCTAATATGAATCCCAGATTTCTCTCACCTGATCAACATAGCAGAAGTAGCCAAAAGTAATTCAAATGGTCTCAGAGTTATTTGCCTACCTTTAGAATCTGTAGGTGCACATGCAAACAAAAACAAAGAAAAAACCCTGCTTTCAACAAGAAATGGTACAAATGGGAGGAAAAAAATAACTTCAAAACTTTGTAACCCTGCAAAAATACTACATGTGTTCCATCTTATAAACAACGGAGAAAGGAGTAATGGCTCTCTTTATATCCATTTTAAGCAAAGACCGTCTTTCTGTAATGAATTTATGAACATATGCCTCAATTAGGTCTTTTCTTTTAATTGTCCTGTTGTGTGTGGTGCTTATTGTAGCAGGTTATTGCTGATTTAGCCAGAAAGAAGTCAAGATCTCCAAACATTTCATTGCATTTAAGGGTAAGAGCAAGAGTTTTCAAAGTCTCAAGCATGGTAGTAAGATAGGTTGGCTATTTCATGAAGAAGGCAAACAATTTGTCTTATTTAATAACATCATACAACAGGTCAGTTTAAAATAGATATTTAAAAAGTAAAACATCTATTAAAATATTTCTCATTTTAGAGAGCTCTCAGGAAATATTATTTTCTCTCATCATTCAGATGTAGATATTGATGGGCGAGAATACCTTTATAAGCTCTACACTAAAATGACCGTAACATTTAAGCATTCATCAAGCTGCCCCTCCTGAGTTTGTATTGGTTATCTTTAGAAATTAACAATATACAAATATTTACTAGAAATTTAAACATAATAGGTTCTCAATGTTGACTGACAGAGTGGCAGAGCAATAATTTGTTAGGTGAACCTAGCCTGTCCCCTCTCATTCTATAAAAGTGCATAGAGCATGTTAGTGCAGACACAATAGAGTCCTCAGAGCATTTGCCGTCATTTTTGCAAAAGACATTTTCCAGAATCTTGGCAGTAGGTGGTTCTGAAACATTTTTGAATTACCCTCACTCACCCTATATGTTTAGGAATCCAGAATAAAACAGTATATAAGCCTGGCAATTGCAATGATTGAAATTGTCACTGATGCTCAAGAGAAATCAAAGCAGGAAGTATGGTTTCTTCCTTTAGGTTACATTTCAGTAAAATAGTTGAGGCAACATCCAATGAACAGATGGTTTGAGGAGAAAATATAAAATACAGTAGTGATGTCAAAATAGCATAGAGGAATAAAAAAAAATTAAAAGGAGGCCCAAATCATGAACTCCTCTAATTAGAGCCTGCTGAAAAGAGAGGAAATATAATTTTAAGGAAGTTATTTGTTTCTAATAAGTTAAGAAGAAAGGTTATCAGAAGTCACAGTTCTCTGACCTCAGGAATCTTGTTTTAGAACTATATTCATGCCCAATTCCAGTGTTAAAAAGAAACGTAAGGATTCCATGTGGACATTTAAACTCTGTAAAAATAATGAGTTTAAAACTTATCAGAGATAACTTTAAAAAATATAAATCCAAGAATCATAATTTAGAAAATATCTAAATATGTTTATATGTAGCATCTTGCATCTGAAATTATAGACTGTGTTTTATAAAAATAGATTTTGATCTTGTTTCTTACTATGTCATTTGTTTCAACAGTATATTTTTAGATCCAACACGATCTCAATTTAATATGACAGTGTGCTTAATATCTGAATATAAAAGGACAGCTGTAAAATTTGGTAGTGTGTATTATTTAAACACATTCTGCTCATTCCTTTGGATTCTGTCTTCACTATATGGGATGCTTCATATCCCGATTATGTGGTGAATGTTAAACTTGAAAGGAGGCCAAATACCAATTTTGTGTAATCTCAGTAAGTTGCAATTCACAGGGCAGCTGGGAAATTTACCCTTGAAACCATGTTGTCGCCATGCTGTGGATTACACTGACGAGGAATTGGTGCTGGGCCGTATCCTGCTGAAGGTGTATGGACAAGGAAAACAATAGAAGGTGGTGTGAAGGACCTACAGCTGCACCATCTTCTGTTCGAAGGACTAAAACGAAAACAAGTAAAGCAAGTCCAAGTACATGTGTATGCTGGAAGTCTTTATCCAGAAGATGATTCTTTGTAAAGTATTCCAGATGTGTTAGCACTTGTGTGCTACAACTTTTAAATCACGTAGAAATATCAAAAAGACGAGAATAGATTTTTTTTTTTTTAGATGTGAGAAATAAAGTATATTCATCGAAGATAAGTCTTACAGGCAACTGGAGTGCAGGTACCCACTTTGAAGTGTCCTTCTCTTTTTTCCTGCTGTGAAAGATTATGGTGCAGTTATTTTCTTGGGAAAAGGCCCAGCTCCCACGTGCCCTGATGGTACAGTGGCTCAGTGCTCGGCTGCTAACTGAAAGGTCCGCGGTTCGAACCCAGCAGCTGCTACACGGGAGATGTGGCACTCTGCTTCCGTAAAGATTTACAGCCTTGGAAACCCTATGGGGCAGTTCTGCTCTATCCTGTAGGATCGCTATGAGTCAGAATCAACTCGAAGGCAGTGAGTTTTTTATCTTCTTTGTGTATTAACATTCAAGATATTTGCATATTACTTATTTCACAATCACTGGCTTATATTTTCATTTTTTATTACTATATAGACATCATTATTAGTTAATTGGTTCAGAATGATCATAGATTGCAGCACTGAACTATTTTTTGGTGATTCATTCTGAGTTACTTTTAAGGAACATATTTCTTATAACCTGTGTGGGGTGAAGTGTGTGTGCATCTGCAGAGGATCACTTTTATGTGACGCATATACATGCAAGTGCATTGCTTTGCTCAAAGCTCTCCTGACCCACTGCAGCCAGCTCATTGGATGAGTATGAACTTGGATTATAGACAGCCTCACCGCCGTCACTGGTGCATTAGATTGTATGTGCTGCTGCCTCTCCCAAACCCGCAGGGGCGGGGAGGGGGAGAAAACGAGGGAGTGAGACTAGATACTGAAAATATTCCTTGGTTTTCTTCACAGATCTAAACATTGCTTGTAAAAACTCATCTGGAGATTGTGAATATATGGAAGTGGAATTGGTGGGTGAAAAATCGCCTCTTAAAAACCCTAAGCTTTTATCATTAATATTGACGTCTATTTACATGTTTGTAAATGTAGCATAACTCCAGCAGCATTTTTATTTATTATAAATCTGTGCAAACTACTATCATAGTTAGTGTTAGCATTTTGTTTTATTGTAGCCCTGTAACTGCTATGGTTCTCTAGTAAAATCCAAATGAATGCTTTAGTGTTGTGTTGACGAAAGGGCAGCTAATGGCCACTAGTCCCAGGCCCCATACTTTAGTAGTCTGCACATACAAGCGTAGGTAGATGTGAAAAAATAGCTCCAAAGTTGAGCCAGGTAGGTTTCAGGGCAGTAAGAAGGAACACTTCCTTACCTCTCATCTCATTACTGATGATGCAGAGAACAGCAACATCTGAAAAGGAACATCACAACAATCAGTGAAACCTGATTTATAGTGGCATTTCTCAACAAAAAGACCCTGATGTTCACAAACACAATTTCAGGGTAATAAAAGGTTTAATGTTTTAGGTATTCCTTTTTTTTTAAATGATAGCTCATCATTTTGGTATTGCCCCAATCTTGCGAAGTTTCCTTGATACAAAAATAAATAAATAAATAAATTGCCATCATCGTGCGTCTCCAAGCAGTGGATTTAGAAATGCTGCATTGATTTAATTTTGATTTTTTCAGAACCAGGTGAGGCTCTAGTTCTTTGGAGCTGACTCACACGGCCTTGGCTACCTTGGGCTTAAACAGTCTTTTCCCCCCCAGGTTTTTAATTTGTTGTGTTATAGAATAAAAAAAAAAATTACCAACTCTAGAGCCCTCAGTGTGGGCCATTTCAAGTATTTTAAAATCCCCTAGGCCCCTGAAATAGTATAGAATGCAAAAGCTGTATTATTCTAAAATGGTGCAGCTTATCCAGTGTTCAAGTTTATTTTCTTCTTGGTTTAAAAAAAAAATGCTTAACACAGTACTGTAAAACAAATGTTTATATTTAGTTACAAAATAGGTTACCTAAATAGTTGATAGCATATTTAACTTCCTAATCATGCAAACATTTAGGCAATTAATTTAGGCATTAGTTTTTATTCTTTGGTCCCATGCCACCTAACATATTAAATGGCAGGAGAAAACTAATCTGAGATTTTAAATAATGTTGATAATGCATATGCTAAAAATTGAAAATGGGCATAGGACCTCTGAAGCTTGATAATCTAAATAAAACGAGTTCATATAAAATATCACTGTTTCTGACAAGAAACCCTGTAGACTTACCTAGGAATTAATTACACTTGGAAAGCACAAAAAAATATCGATTTGCCTCTGCAAGATATTATAAAAATGAAAAGAATCCCGGCCCACAGTGGGTACTTGAATCATTCCATTACTCCGCTTTTCGCATTTTGTCTTCTTGGAGACCCTCTGATAATGCTCTTTTCCTTAAAGTCAGTTTTGTCCGTTACTTTTCACTTCACGTTTGACTGGCATATCTTCTTTTTCATTCTTCTACAGAAAACTTTTCTGTGATTATATGACACTTTTAGATGTGTTTCTTATAAAACAACCTATAGTGAGATTACAGGGTTGCTGTGAGTCGTAATCCACTCAACGGCCAGAGGTTTTTTTTTTTGTTTTTTATTGTAAGATTACACGTTTTATCCTGTCTGACAAACACTGACTGCTTGTCAGTCAGTGATGATGAATTTATCCTACTTTCCACAGACTCATCCGGCATCTATTTGGATGGCTGATTGGGCTTGTATTGGAGTCTCTGCTCAGAGAGAAATATGTTGCTTTACACCTAACATATGAAATTCATCATTGATAATGTGTACATCTGATAAAATCCTGACACTGTAGACGTAATCTGAGACTTTCCTCTGTGTGTTTCTACTGACCCAAGGCAGCTGCTGATGCACAAGTTAAAGCAAAAGAGATACCTTAATTAGTATTCCAGGGGTCTTTGATACCATGTGCACAGGTGTGAACTGCTGAAATCTGAATGCATATGCCACTATTATTGGAATTTACTGTTTGAAACAATGTATCTTTTATTCATTCTTTAATATTTGGAAGAGCGACTCATTAAAAAGGAAGTGCACTGACCTCCAACTCTATATTTTTCCTTTTCTAAACTAAATATTAGAATCTAGAGAGTTGAAATTGCCTTTGATGGACAAAAGAAGGTCTAAAATTTTATGAATTGGAAGCAAATTTTTATGTTAAATAGAAAGATAAAGAATATAGAGGTGGAATGATAACACATTTAATTTTGATTCTAACACACTTAAA